CTTGGTGGCACCAAGCCCATGGGCTCCTACAGAAATTGAAACCCAACACCCTTTGGTTGATCAAGGATGACACTAATGTCTTAGTCTTTCACGACCCTTGGGTTCCCACAATACGTGGAGGTATTCCTGCACCAAAAGAGAACATTACACTCCATAATGATATGAAAGTGGCAAATCTTCTCAACAATGATGGAACATGGAATGCTGAAAAGTTACAAGTTCTAAACAACCAAGCCATCCCTCACATTATGGGAATCACTTTGAACTCACAGCAAGCATCTGAGTCACCACTATGGAAGTCAACTAGTTCAAGCCTTTACTTGGTAAGCTCTGCTTACCACTATTTTTCATTAGAATAACCTTCTTCCTCTTTTTTGTTTTTAATTGGAAATTTCTATGGAGATTAAAAATCCCTCACCATTGTTTAGAAGTTCCTACGGAATGGGCTTCACACAATAGACAAATGCACAAAATGGCTTGTGTTAGAGAATATCAACCTATTCAAGGACCTTACCGAACGGCTTAAGCTTTTAGGTTGAATGGTTCTTTGACAGAGCCACTTTGACCAAGTGGTCTAGTGTTCGATTCTCATTACCCCCATCATAATTAATTAAGTTTCAGCACAAGGTGTGGGTGAACTTGTGATTGTTCACACTTCAAACCCAATGGGCTTTCATGTGAGGGGGCATGTTAAAGAATGTCAACCTATTCAAGGACCTCACCGAACAACTTAAACTTTTAGGTTGAATGGTTCTTTGAGAGATTGGACCATTAGAACGTAGTTGTGTTTTTTGCAATAATGAAATGGAATCTTTACATCATCTATTTTTCAAATGCCCATTTTCAAGAGTTGTTTGGTGCCAAGCACAAGTTGGCATAAATCCCGACATTATTACCATTCAGCCCCCTTACTAGATTCTTCAAGACTAGATTATTAGCCTCTTGTCAAATTTTGACAACGTTAATGCCCTACAAATGGTTGGTTAAGGCTGCATTATATTATACCTAAGCTGGCTAGCTAGAAACAAAGCCATATTTGAAAACATTAAATCATCTCCAGTTGAAAATTTGTCAAAATGGGTTGTTTACTCACCCCTCAAAACTAAATGACTTACCAATTCACTTTTCATAGACAACTCAGCTAATGGATGTTTATTACAAATAGGTATCTCTTATGATCCTTTCATAGGAAATTCAAGATGCTCATTCATCCTCCAATGCACACATGGACATCAAATCGTGGCTCAAGGAAGGCCCTGCTGGGCAATCAACTATACTAAAGCGGAAGGAAAGACTCACTAAATATACTATCTCTCAACTTCTAGTGAAGTATATGAATAGCTAGGTAACCCCAACTTTATGGACAGAGCAGCTACAAAAAAAAAAAAAAATCATCAAGCTATTGAACAACTTCTTAGAAGTCTTTTTTGTTTATGTAATAGAAGCAAGAACCTAACAGTTCATACTCTAGGTTATTTTGCATGTAAAATCCAACTATCTATAGACTTTTACTCTCTTGTATCTCCTAACATTTCTTTCAACTCTTTAGGCTGCATTTGGAAATGATGCAAATAAGCGTGAATGCAAATATGTAGAGTGTAAAACAGTCCATATAAGTTGCAAAATTGGGTTAGTTTTGCAATGACAAATTTACCTTCTTACCAAACAGACTTTTACCTGTAATGGATGCAAATGCCAATAAAGCATATGCCTTTTTTTATGAAAAGCCCACTTGAATGCAAATTTACTTCTTTTTTATTGATATACTTTTACATCTTATTATCAATGTAAATATGCATTGGAAAATGTGTTTCCTGTCATTTGTCAATGCATAAATGTAATGTTGCCAAGCACAGGCAAAAGTGAACCAGAGTACAAATTTACCTTGAACCAGGATTTACACTCAATTTGCACCATTTACAAATGCAGTCTTAATGAATTGATGCTGGCTCTTTTTGTGGAAAAAAAAGAAAGGTCATATTGAAATGAGAAAAAAAAAAGTTAGCAATAGAGTCTAATCATTTATCAAGAAAATGATTGTCTTGAATTATATAAAAAAATGCATATCAGAAAAGACATTTTCTCCAATTGCAAGGAGTTTTTCATTGTTTGGTTCATATGGTGTCTAATTGTCATAAAGTAAGAAAAAACTTCTAAGACACAAATTCATACAAAATGTTTTCTTGTGAAATGACAATGGTATTAAACACCACCCTAGCAATATATCTATTGGACCAATTCTAAGGCTACCAATTTAAGCGAGCTCAAGCAGTCCAAATCTCCTATTCACAAGAACCCTACTCACACCTACCCACATAATGACATCACAAGTACAAATCGAGAACATCTCAAGCTCGGGTTAAGAATTTGTCAAAATTTGAATGGATGATGCTATGCAAATTCTTCAAATCAAGTGCTAGACTTGCACTCTTGAAGACCAAAACCATTGGTTGGTTCAAAGTCAGTGTTACTAGGATGAACCATTGGTTGGTTTAGAATTGTTCAAATCAAGTGCCAGACGAGTTTTATATTGCTGGTTAAGACTACATTGGTTTAATCGGGTCCTAGATTGCTCTTTGCATTACTAGGATGAACCATTGCTCTTTGAACCGACCGATCAAGGTTGAGTTCAGAGATATAGCATAAATAGTAGCAAAACAATGGTGGTACAACAAATGGGGATTGCAGTTTTGCAATTGTTTATGCTATCTCATAGTTGTAAAATGGTCTGAGTTGACTTAGCAACAACAAGCCTTATAATTGCCCCTCGTGATTAATGAATAAATTCTATTTTTCATGTTTTTAATAAGTTTATTTATTTGAGATTGACAAGAGCTAAAAAAACATATTAAAATGTAATGACCTTAAACAATGGTGGATTTGGGACTCTGTTCATCGCTGCTTTGGTTTGAAGAAGACAATGAATAGTGTCTTCTTCAAAAAGGATAATTTTGAAACTTTGAAATGCTACAAAATACATTTGACATCACGTGCATTAGATAACTAGTGGACTACTAATGGTGGATATTAAACTGATAGTTTTCAGGAGTTCAGGTTAGGACTGCAAGTAGGGGTTAACCGAACCATGGGCCTTTTTTTGTAATTGAACTGGTACTACCGGTTTTTGGAAAGCCAGTAACCAAAACCAAATTGAAGTCAATCGGTTAACCGGTTGACCAGTTCGGTTAACCGGTTGACCAGTTCGGTTAACCGGTTGACCAGTTCAGTTAACCATTGGTTCGTTCATCAGTTTTTTAGTTTTTTAATTATTACAATATATATTATAAAAAAACATATAAATATATATAAAATATTATATTTTAAATAATAAATAATATATCATATATTATAAATATATATATTTATATATAACGCATATTTATTAATTTATAATATATAAAAATATAATTTATATATTATATAATATGCATAAATATATATAAAATATAGGTATACCTATTAGTTCGGTTATCGGTTTTCTATATTGGTTAACCAAAACCGAATTGGTACCTTTAGTTTTTTTTTTTTTAAATACCGAACCGATCAATTTGGTTAATTGATTTTTCGGTTCGTTTTCGGTCAGTTTTTTCAGTCGGTTCAGTTTTTTCATTTTTTTTTGTGCTCACCCCTAGTCACAAGTCGAGCCGGGTTAGGTTGGGTTGAGGCCAAACCTAGCCCAACCCTAACTTATAAACCCCAACCCTAACCCTAAATAAATTCCTTCAACCCTAACCCTAACTCAACCCAACCCAACCCGAAGTCAACTTTAGATTGGGTTGGGCTCGAGTTGGGTGCAACCTGACCTTCCCATTTCTTAAAATCTCATAAAACTTCTTAACCTTACATCTTAATTCAACTTTCATTATATATATTAATCCTATGTTTTATTAGTATTTGTTTGTTGATGTTTTTATTGATTCTTTAAGTACAAAATTCAGAAAAAAAGTGTTTGAAATGACTATGGTTTACTATGATGAGTAATAATAGATCTTTTTATGGGCAGTAAGTTAAACAACAGAGAGGAGACAAAGAATAAAATATTCAGAAAACATAAAATATGTTATCAAGGTTTTAGTATTTCCAATTGGGATTAAGTGAAGTGGTTATCTTAAATGAAATAAATGATAATATGTGGTGGTGGCATTACAACTATGATGCATCTAAACAAATCAATGTATGACAATCATATACAACTATGGAGTCGGGTTTGGGTTGGGTCGAGTTATCTGAGGGGTCAACCCTAATCCAACCCGAAGTAAAATCGGGCTCATAAATTTCAACCTAAACCTAACCTGAGCATCAATCCGACCCAACCCAATCTAACTTTTTTGGGTTGGGTTCGAGTTAACCCGGCCCAAATTGCAGCCAGGTATTGGAAATTTGGAATGGCATATTTTGAAGTTTAGATATTAAAGCGAGACAAACCCCAAAGTATAGTGTATTAATATGGAATTTACCCAAATTTGATTTGATAACTTCGTACCTGAGTACCTCACAGTCACAACCAAAAATGCAAGAAGACCTAATCAAGGAAAAAATTAAACCAAATGTCTAACTGAAATTCAGCCCGCCCTAGTATTTGGGCTTGAGCCCGGTGGACTGTTGGAGTTGAGATTGAGCCCAGCCTAATTGCATACCTATCTTATACGATACCGGTGCGGGTGCCATCAAGATTCATGAAGCTGAAAATAAGCTGGAACCTGGAGGCTGGAACACGGCAATCCAACCGTAGATGACTGATGATGACCCACCCATTTTTGAATGCAACTGCACGACGGTTACCTATGATTTCCTCTTACAGTGTTCTACATACTAGCTTGTGAGAAGAACTATCGATCTGGACCATTCATCGACAAGTCCGCCAGAGAAATGTAACCACACATCAACATTATCAGTAAGATCGCACGGAGACAAAGAGTTTCCTACATATATCTACTTTAGATACCGTTACACTGGAAACCACTTGAGACAAAACTTAATCGAGTGAAGTCAGGTGTTGATCGAATTCAACAGGCTCGATCTTCAAATCTTCCGTAGAAATCAATTTTCTAGCTCTGAGCTTTAGAAGCTCGTGTCCTCTGCGTTGTTGTTGTTGTTTTCAGTTTGTGGGATCTTGGATTTGAAGAGCAGATCATGCTGAGAGCTATCCAGTTTCTTGGTTACTCTTCTGGAGTCGTTTCGTCTACGCTGCATAGATGGAAGCCGCATGGGCGCGGTGGGAAACTGTCGCTCATGTCCATCTCTACTAAATCGGCGTCGACGTTAACGTCGGGAAGAGTAGCGGTTTCTTTGCTCTTGTCCGATGGTTCTACGGTCCGAGGCGGTTGTTTCGGAGCATTTCGAACCTCTGCAACTCGTTCTGAATCGAACTCGGACTGTAGTTCATCTCCTTCTCCAGCAACTGCATTTCAGTCATTAGTAAGCTTTTTTGGTATCTTTTCTCTTTATATAAAATGGGATTGAGTTTATATTCGTTATGCTATTGTGTTTCTTTGCTAAGTTGGGTGATCGCAGTTTAATTTACAGAGACGGGTTCAAAATGTCTAAGGTTTTCGAATAATTGGAGTGAAAACAAATGTTTATTTGAGTTTTTCTGTTTTGTTTATTTACTTCCTAATGTATTTCTTGGAAGGCATGTGTGAAGTTGAATCGTGTACTTGCGTTGGTGATAAAAGGTGCAAATAGGGTTTTTTTGCCTATAAAATAATAGTTATTTTCCCTCTTTGAGCGGTGATCGGCAAGAATCTGTTGGAAATGCAAATTGGTTTTGAGTTGTTTCTTGTTATATTGTCTCTGTTTTTTCTTTCCTTTTGTAAGTTTTAGTTATGTTATTATTTTAATGAGGGCTATTGGAGTTTGATGCTTATTAAGAATTGGATGCTTTAACTTTTCCTTTTTTACTTAGTAATACTTTGAAAGAATACAGTAGAAATCAGAATTGTTCTTCTTTTATTCTTGTTTGAAAGAAAATTTCTGTATTTCTGGAATTTATATTCCCACCCCCCCCCCNAAAAAAAAAAAAAACAAAAACAATAAAAGCAAAATATAAAAAGATGAGGATACTAAGATGGAAATTGGGCAAGACTAAAAAGGATATAAGTATAAATAAGTTCATTCAAGAGGACTTAGGAATAGCCCTAATTGGTGATAAGATGAAGGAAAGTCAACTGAGATGGTTTTGTCATGTGCATAGGTAGTCAATGACTGCATTGGTGGAGAGTGATTTTGTGTAAGTAGAAGGTCCTAAGAAAGTATGGGGAATACCAAAAGAAATGTGGGTTGAAGTGGTAATAAATGATCTATAAACTTACAATTTGATAGAAAACATGGCTGTTGATAAAACACAATGGCAGAGTGGGATGTGTGGACCTGACCCCAAATAGTTGTACTAAGGCTGCGTTGAGTTGAATTAAATGTTCTCATGTTCTTCTTTTGATACATTTTCAGATATACCTAGTATAGTTGAATTTTGAATTTCTTGTAATTACTGTGGAAGCCATCAATAACAGGTATGAAGGTGACAATTGGAGCTGTAGAAGTCATTACCAACAAGTATGAAAGTGGCAAGTAGAATTTGTATGTACTGTGAGTCATTAGAAGATGCATACAGCTTTGAAATTCATTAATCCTTTTCTAACTATAATATATGCCTTTGTGTTTAATTATATATGCTTAAATATGAAAAAAATGCATATTTACTATTTAGTACAACCACATTTCATCTAAAGAGTGGTTCGTGATTATTCTTTCTTTTCCAAACTTTTGCATGGGTTCTAATCATTTGAATGTGTTCACAGGCCCATATCAATTTCTGTCAGTGGTGTGGTGGCCCAACTAAGCAAGCTATTCCTGATGGAGATGAGAGAATGAGAGATGTTTGCCAGCTTTGTGGGAAAGTTGCCTATCAGAACCCAAAAATGGTACTCAACTTTTGAGTCTTTGATCTAGGTATAAGGTTAATATTAAAGGAATCATATCTGCTTCTATCTTCTAAGTTCCATTTTATTTTTGAGATAATTCGTTTGACCAAAATATCATTTACAAAAGTAAATAATATAAATTTTGTATTCACGTAGCCCTGGATGGGTCAATCCAATCCTAAGAACAATTGCAAACTCATTCAGCTTCCAGTTTCATTGGATAGAGCTCCATAATGTGGTTTAAACAAGTGGATGTGATGGTTCTACTAGATATACAACAATATTTCCACCATCTATTTTACCATTTCCTCCATATCATTTGAGTGATTATAACCTATAATGGCGAAAATTACCAGAAAAGGTAATTTGGCAAATGGATGTAGAGGGATAGGTTTCCTCAACAGCCTAGTACAGCTATGATATTTTCAATACTCTAGTGAGGCCATTACACAGAAAAGTTGTCATCCCACAAGATTCTTCCCAAAGAACTGAAACTGGATAAACTTCAAGCTCCTGAATAAAACATGTATAGATACCCATTTGAGTAGAACTCTCAGTCTTGGCACACAATTTCTCAGTGGGAAGAGACTGATTTGCAAAGGTTCTGTCTTTCCTCTCCCTCCAAATACACTAACTGATCACTAGAGGAATCATATTCCACAATGCTTTACCCCTCTTGCTGAAAGCTTGGGATCTCCAAGAAGAGATTAATGATTCAATATCAGGAGCTACAGCCCAATATACACCAAAAAGCTGCAAAGCATGAGACTAAACAGAACAGGAAACACTGCAAGTTACTAATAGATACTGTGTGTTTTCTTCAGCCTGTCCACACAGGTAGCACCAGTTAATGATGCACTTTTTTTTTTCTTCTCAACACATCTATGGTTGGTTTGATGATCTGCATCATATCCAGTAGGGCCTCCATGTAGATGCATATGCTTAGGTTTCACCTTTTCGATGATCTGCATCATAGCTAGTAGCCTAGTAGGGCCTCTCAGTCATTAACATTTCTTCTCAACCTAGGACACTGAACAATCTGATTTGCATTCCCTTTATAATAGTCACAGATATGGGCGACTTTATCCTGTGCCAGAGCAAAGATGTTGGGGAAGGTACAATTGAGACCTGAGAGGACCATTTTGAAATCCCCAATCTTTCCAAAAGAAAATGATCTCACCTTTTCCTGGTTTATAGATAACATACTTGAAAAAGATATTTCTGTTATTCATGATTTCCTTCCACAAACTAGTTCCATAGGCTTCATTGACAGGGCCTGACTCCCACCCCAGCTCAGCCTCCCATATTTCCACTTTACAACTTTTCTCCAAAGCTCATTTTCTTAGTTCCAAACCACCACAGCCGCTTGGATGGGAGAGCAATGTTAATCTGTTTTAGTGGTTAGCTACCAACTACTCCTCCTTGATGTTTGGCTTACATACCTCTGCCATGCCACTAGATGCAGCTTCTTTTCCTCTGCTTTACCATCCCACAAGAAATCCCTTCTCAGCTTTTCTATGGTACTCAAAATTGAGGCTGGAGCTCTAAACAGGGACATAAAATAGGTAGGAAGGTTAGAGAGAACACTCTGTATTAGAGTAATTTTACTTGGCCTTGGACAAGTAATTTCTTCCAGCTGGCTAATTTGGTCTTTATTTTATCAATCACCAGGTCCCAGATTTCCTTTGACTTACAATTATGACCCAGTGGCAAGCCCACAAATTCTGAAGGGATCCTACCCTGCATCCCCAGACAGTAGCAAGATCATCAATATTTGGGAGCTCCCCAACTGGAAAGATAGCACTTTTCTGCAAATTTATCTTTAAACCTGAAGTATCCTCAAAGCACATAAGAAGGCACTGGAAGAGCAGCAAGTCTTGGCTATAGCGTCTAGAGAAAATCAGTGAATCATCTATGAACCGGAGCAATGCGATTGGATCACTGTCAGATGAAACTTTAATACCATCTAAGTAGCCATCTGATGCAGATTTATCAATCATTCTACTCAATGCCTCCAAAACAATAATAAGTAGGAAGGGGGATAAAGGGTCACCTAGGTGTAGACCCCTCTTTACTGCAAAGAAACCTCTTGGCCTGCCATTAATCATGATTGATATTTTAGCTGCAGCAAGACAACAGGCCATCCATTTTCTCCATTTCAGCCCAAAACCCATCCTTCTAAGTTCTAAGAAGGTAATCAACAAAGCCCCACTGTACATGGTCATACACCTTTTCAATATTTTATTTGCATATTACTCCCAGATCTTCAGCTTTGAGCCTTGAGTCTATGCACTCATTCACCCACTAGGGCTCCATCTAGAATCTGTCTGCTGTCAACAAAAGCACCTTGAGAAGGGAGATAATGGGACCCAACACACTTGGTCTAGAATCTGTCTAACCTCTTATTCCCAAATACAAATATAAACTTGGACATGAATATGGGAAAAAGGAACATGATTGCCCATTTCCTAAAATCCTGGACACTGATACAGGTATCCCATGTAATATGCTAATATTATGTGTTTATATCTAGTTTTGAAGCTAATTAAAGTTCATTTTTCAGGACTTGTGTCTTGCCAGGTTTAATTAAACTTCAAACATGTGCAGAATTTTTTTATAGCATAATTTGTTAAAACAAACCACTTTACATATTTTAGAAGTATTAATGCTGTAGAGTATCTCTAGAAATATCCATGCAGTATCTGGTATCATATCAAATAAGGATCATATCTGACACTGGTATGCAAGACATGTACAGGTATCTCGTTATCACAGGTTCTGACAATTGGATCTGATTTTCTCCCAGTTTTTCTAGACCAAACAACACATGTTAATCTATGTAAAATTATGCTTCTAACTTTGTCAAATGGGTTGAAGCTTAGCCATTAGGTTTTTCATTGACTGATCTTGTTGTCAGAGATTTTCTTGAGTTTATCAATACTTAAAAATAGTGGTTTCTGATCCCTAACTTGAACTAAAATCTAATCAATTTTTTGATTCTTAAAATATGTTAATCTGGCAAAATAAGGGTCCAGCATTTTATTTCTGCTTCTTATTCCAGTCAATTTCAATGAAACCTTGTATAATTTGGTTAATGGCTTAATGCAATGTTAGGTGTAAATGTTAATCTATAAAGTCATGTTTGAGTTTTTTTTTATTATTTTATTGAAAGTTCTGATCTTGTTAATCTTGATTGATGCTGTTTAATTTGTGAGACCTTACACCCTTGAATGAGAATTTCATTGCATCATTATTAATATCTTCACTGTAAAATACAGGGCTTTTGGGACCATGCTGGGAAATGAGATGGTATTGCAATGGGACTTTCTTTACAACTTCTGCTGGGATATTTTATAGTCATAGAATTTTAACCTAGTTTGTACAAAATTTTAGGAGTTAAATTCCTAATATATGCTTTAAGCTTTTAGAATAGTTTTTATGTCTTTTACTTTGATGTGTCACATTTGACAGTAGAAAAAGAACTTTGTTTTTAGAAAAAAACTTTGTCTTGGCTAATTCTCATTATGCATGGGGTTTCCTGATATTGTTAACTATGCATCCATCTTAAAATTTCAGTACAGCTTTTTGTGCATGCATATATTATGTCTATTATATCGAAATGCTAATTAAAAAAAAGGAAAATATAACAAACATTGATCATGTCCAACTTCTACAATAAGAAAGAGATGCTAGTCCAAATTCTTTTAGGGCCTTTCAATGTGAAAAATGCTTATATTCTTGCTAAAGTTGGTTCATGGTTTATGTGTCTAAATGTATTCTGCACAGTTAAGTTCTCCCTTGTGGAGGTGGAAAATGTCATTCTGATATTTGTTTCTTTGGACTGATTCCTGTAGATTGTGGGTTGCCTTGTTGAGCATGACGGCAAAGTCCTACTTTGCAAGCGGAACATTCCACCATCTTATGGTCTTTGGTATGTATTGTATATGGATTGCAGATAGAAAATATTTTCTTTAGCTTATTTTTTTCTTCAAGGGCAGGTACTTGTGCAAATGATTATATTTGATCTGTTTTTGATAAAAAATGGATTCTGAAACATGTAATATGTTTTTTTTTTTTTATCAGCAACACAAAATTGATTCATTAGATTAACAAACATGTAATATGTTCTGCTAATATAGGACTCTTCCTGCTGGCTATATGGAAATTGGGGAGTCTGCAGCAGAAGGGGCAATCAGGGAAACTTCGGAGGAAACAGGCGCAGATGTGGAACTAGTATCACCATTTGCTCAACTGGATATCCCTCTTATTGGCCAAGTAAGGGCGAACATTTTCATTTTTCATGTTACTTTTACTTTTCCAGACTTGGGTGTCTATGTATTTATTGATGATACCGATGGAACAGAGTTACATAATTTTCAGAGCAAGGATGAAAAAAGTCCACTTTTCACCAGGCCCTGAGTCTCTGGATTGCCAGCTTTTTGCACTTGATGATATACCATTTGATTCTTTGGCATTTTCATCAATGCTTGTAACATTGAATATGGTATGTGGTGTTTCAGACTACATATATTGATGTTTTCCTCTCCATTGTTACAGACACATACATCTGCCAGATATTATTATATATAGCTGTAGGTTAATTCTTAATATAAAAGTTAGATTTGTCTAATGAATGCTTCTTATCTACTCTGACTACAGTACATTGAAGACATCAAAACTGGAAAACCCAAGTTTCATTATGGTATCATAAATAAGAGGTACTTGTTCATTCAAGTCTTTCATAGCCTGAATCTTAAATGAAAACCAAGTTTGAATATACTGTTGAAGACTACTGCTGCAACTTCACTATCTGAATGTTTCTTAAGGCCATTAGCTTTGTGGCATTTCTCCATTTGTGTCCATTATATTATTACTGTAATAATTGGTTCATTTAGGATTTTAAGAGTTATTTTCTTAATTCTTTCCCTGATGGTGGCTTGCAGACCTGGTACTAGGCCAGATGATATTCATGCCTACACTCTAGATCATCATATGCAGTCATGAAAAGGTATTTGTCTCTTCTGCCATTTGTCGTAAAGAAGTACAAGATGGGGAAAAAAGAGTATTAGAATATACAATAGCCAACAACCGCCAAGGAATTCTTTCTTCCTTCACTTCTGGCAATACAGCAGTTGATGTTAACAAATAATGAATTAAAGGCTTCCATCATGATATAACCATATGGATGGGGCAGAGGATTATTCTTCATGGTCATTTGCATGGGTAGTATACTGATACCCTTTCTGATTACAGGAAAAATGATGTAGTGCTGGTTCACTGTATTGCTCATGCTTGCAAATGAAATGAAGAGAAAATTCAAAATTTTTCTTTTTTGCTGTTGTTGTTTTATTGGTTTATTTGTGTTTGTAGTTAAGAAAGAAGTATCAATTATCATGTAGAAAATTTCCCAGTGTTGATTCACTGTACTTCTCACACTTGCAAATTAAATGAAGAGAAAATTCATTTTTTCCTTTCTGCTGTTGTTATTTTATTGGCTTATATGCGTTCGTGGTTAAGAAGTATCAATGATCTTGTAGAAAATTTCCTGGTGTATAATTAGACATTACAATCTGGTTCTTGGGTGCTATGTGTTGCAATGTTTGGAAAATTAAGCGAATAGAACATCTATATATAAGATGTCTGGATTCTGAAGGTTTGGTTCAAACATAGTTTAGACCATTTTCCATGTCTAAACTACTAATTAGTACTTCTAGTTGTTGGGCCAAATTTGGTAGCGCATGCAGGATGAACTAGTTACTGTAAAATTTCTCATTTGATTTTGGAATGCAGTGCCACAAGGGACCACAGTGAGGGGGTACACGAGTCAAGCCAATAAATTGGTTCAACCTGGCTTGAAAGGAAGTACTTGATCCATTCATTCAGTTTAATATTCATTGTATTTTACTATTTTATCATGTTGTAGTTTCTTTTGGTTTTCCTTTCTAGCCTTGGATTTTAAATATGGTTTAGTACCAGTAGAAACCCTGAGGAAAAATATACCAAGCAGATTGAATTAATTACTAGTTTTGAAGGAGCAGCAGCAGCTCATCTAACTGATTTCAAAGCTTCTTGTACTCTCAATCAGCTCATATGATACAATAGATGTAAGAGATTTTGGATAGACATCATAGAAGATGAAACTAAAAGCAAATGGTTAAGGAAGTTTACCTTAATTTCTTCTGTCCTTTGTTGAACAATCAAATTTCCTATTTTATGCCCTTTCTTTGTTCAATAATCAAATGGTCTTAACTAGTGGATGAAATACATATGGTAATGCTGTTAAAATGTAGTGTTCTGCATAGGGTTATTTGTCTTTCTTCCTCTCCTTTTTGGTTCTGTTTTTGTCTCTATTCTTAAGTTACACTATCAGGGGTAGTTCTATAATTTTTATTTCATTATGAATATAAACCATATAGGGGCGGCAGTTGAGTCTCACTCGATAGAAACTGTTCAGCCCTATTCTCTTCGTATTCCTCTTCTTCTCTTCTTCTTCTCCATTTCTTTGCTTACTGGGTTTATACCAAGTTCCTTTATTTTTTTTACTAAATATCGGTCTAATAACATGGTATTAGAGCTTGGTTGATTGACCTGCTTGACTACATCTCTGAAGGATGCCTGAGACAACATCAATTGGATATTTTTGCTAATAAAAGGTGAAGGGAAGAGGAAGGACAAAAAAAGGATTGATTGCCTAGAGGGTTAGGAGGCTTCCGTGCCTCAAGTTGCATCATGTGTTGGTTTTTTGATGGTGTATTAGACTCTCTCTATTTGGTAGTTCAAAGAGGGACTGTAAATGGTGCAGATCGGATGATCGTTGTCTGTGTTTAGTGGGTTTGTTTTTATGAATGGTGAGGTCGGTTGACTTGTAGAAGGGTTTCTTGTGTTATCTTTTTTTAGGGGGTTGCGGCTATGTTGTTGGTGTTTCCAGATTAATAGTTGAGTTGGTTGAGTGTTCTTGTTGACTTTGGAAGGTGTTCAACTTGGGAGTGTGTTGCAGAAATAACTTATTTGTAATCGATGATAGCTTTTGGCAATGAAATCAAAACGAGTGTGATTGTACAACTTGATTTCATGGTTGCCCAGATGATGTTGGTCAAACTTAATGCTACAAATTGTGTACCATGGGCAAAATCTGTTGAGGTAAATTTGATAGCCAGGGGAAAACTAAAGTATATTAAAGAAAATAAACCAGAACCAGGGGTTGTAGGGTATATAATGATTGGATCAAAGAGAATGTGCAGATCATGACATGCCTTTGGAACAGTATGGAACCTCATATTAGTGTGAACTTGATGTTTTTTGATATTGTGAAATAAATCTGGGAACATATCAAACAATTGTATTTTGGACACGATAATGTAACTAGAATCTATCAATTATACCAGGAATATTTTTAGCTACAACAAGGTGATAGGAGTGTAGAGGAGTACTATGCTAGTTTAAAGAGTTTGCATAATGAGTTGGATTCATACCAGCACCTTTCAATTGATCTCAAAGTGCAACAACAACAGAAACATCAGTTGGATGTGGCAAGATTTCTTTATGGGTTGAGGTCTGAATTTGAACCAATGTGTGCCCAAATTTTAGGTAGTAGTGATATACTCACATTATCAAAAGTTTTCTCCAGAGTAAGAAGGGTTATTAGCCCACATACAGATAGCTCTCCAGTATTAGAGAAGTTGGTCCTAGCCGCAGCCAAAGGTAGTAGAGGTGGCTTATGTGGTAGAAATAGCTATCCCAGAGGGGGTAATCGTGGAGTGAGAGGAAGTCATGGTAGTGGTAGAGATGGGAATATTAGAGGTCATGGTTTTGGTGTTAGTGGTCATTGTCAAAGAGTGCAATTATTATGGACAGAAAGGGCATAACATGAACTTTTGTTATGATTTGCATGGCCTGCCACCTACTTAGGCAAATCATGTTGCTGTAGAAGGAGATAGTGATGTTACAAGTGATGACTACTTCTTTAGGCACTGGGAAGGAGAAGGAAATGGTCTTTATCACACTTGAAGAGTATGGAAAACATCATCTGTCTTCCTCTTCCCTTGGTAATACTGCAATTGTTGCAAAACCAGTACAATATGCCTTGTTTCCTCTTTTAAACCATGGATTATGAATTATGGGGCCTTAGATTACATGATTGGGTCTTCAGACCTATTTGCATCCTTATCCCCTCCCTTCATCCCCCTTCGGTGCTCTATGTTCCTAAATTTCCTTTTAGTCTTATGTCCATTAGTAAGTGGACAAAATCTTTGAATTGCTCCATCACATTTTTTCCATCTTATTGTATTTTTCAGGATCTTAAGACGGGGAAGACAATTGGTGGCAGGTAAGAAGTTGGAGGATTGTACTATCTAGGATGGTGGTGAATCGTAGAAAGCTCTTCATTCTTCCATTACACCATTGCAGTGGCACTATCAGTTGGGTCATCCTTCTCTTCTTGCTCTCAAGAGTCTTGTTTCAGATGTCATATCTGTTCGAGAATTACTGTGTGAAGTCTATTAGCTTGACAAACATCATCATGTTTCTTTTGTTCCAAGGGAATTTACTAGAGCCTTAGGTCTTTTTGAAACTTGTTCATTCAGATGTTTGGGGTCTTGCCCAGTTGAGTCTTATAATGGTTTTAAGTATTTTGTTTCCTTGACAATTTTCAAGAATGACTTCAATTTATTTAATGAAATCTCATACAAAAATGTTTTGATATCTTTCTCTCTTTTTATATTGAAACCAAGAATCAATATGGTATCTCCATTAAATAATTTCGTCCTAACAATGCAAAAGAATATTTTTAGCACTCGTTTCATATATTCTTTGAATCTCATGGCATTATACGTCAATCATTTTGCTCCTCTACTCCACAACAAAATGGAGTGGTTGAGCAAAAGAATATACATTTACTTGATATTGCTCGACCACTTTTGATTCAATGTTAGTTCCAAAAGTATATTAGAGTGATGCTGACCTTACCTCTTGTTTTCTCATTAATCGTATGCCTTTATTAGTGTTACATGGTTCCTCCCCTTTCTCTATTGTATTTCCTTCTTAGTCTCCTTTCCCTTTGCCTCTGCATGTCTTTGGCTGTGTTGGTTTTGTTCACTTCCTAGGTTTGGGTTTAGATAAAGTTTAAACAAGAATTACAAATCTAGAGTTTAGAAGAAGAAGAATAAGAAGAAGAAGAAGAGATGTGTCGAGAGGTGTGTGCTGGTTACTGTTTACACCCTCAAAAGTTCTTTATATTTTAAAAAGAGAAAATTACAAAGAAGCTCCTACTCAGGCACCCAAATATAGAGAGAATACAAGAAAAGAGGAAAAAGGCTAAAATACCCTTATCTAAGCATTCTCAACACTCTCCCTCAAGTTGAGCATATATGTCAATCATGCCCAACTTGGTAAGGTTCTTAGCAAATTTTGGATATTGAACACCTTTAGTGAGACAATCAGCTTGTTGGTCTTTTGACCTTACAAAAGGAAGGCAAATATCTCCGCTAGCATTTTTTTCTCTAATAAAGTGTTTATTCACTTCAATATGCTTTGTACAATCATGTTGGACAGGATTGTGGGCAATATTTATGGCTGCTTAGTTGTCACAATATAGTCTCATTGGGACATCTACTTGGATGCCCATCTCAGTCCATAAGGTCTTCAACCAGAATAGTTTAGACATTCCATGAGCCATTGCCATGTACTCTGCCTCAGCACTAAATGAGCAAAAACAAATTGTTCCTTACTTCTCAATGAAATCACATTATCTCTAAGGCACAATAACTAGATGTAGATCTTCTATCATCAATCGACCCTGCCTAATCAGCATCTGTGTAAGCCTCAATCTTTAGATGGTCATGATCAGAATACAACACCCCTTTGCCAAGATATCCTTTAAAATAAGCTAAAATTCTATTAACCACTTGCATATGAAATGTCTTGGGTTCATGCATATATTGGCTAACCACTCCAATAGTATAGGATATGTCAGGTCTAGTCAAGTAGAGATATAGAAAGTAGTCCACCAATATTTGATATATCCCCTTGTTTGGAAGAACTTCTCCTTTAGTGGAACTCAACTTATGGTTGGGGTCAATTGGAATTTCTACAAGCTTACACCATAATTTCCCAATTTCATAAAGAAAATCAAGTACATACTTCCTTTGTGACAAGAAAATTCCCTTTTAGGATCTTGCAATTTCAATGCCAAGAAAGTATCGAAGATCACCAAGTTCCTTAATCTCAAATTCGGAAGCACGGAAGGACTTTAACTTCACTTGTCATAACAATGTCATCAACATATACTATCAACATTGTTACTCTACCATCAACTCTTCTAATGAATAAGGTGTGGTTAGCCTGAGGTTGAGAAAAACCAATATTTAGGATAGTATTTTTGAACTTGTCAAACTAGGCTCTCGGGGACTATTTGAGCCTATATAAGGACTTCTTCAAGCGGTAGACTTTTCCATCACTATTAGGAAAGTTTACCCCAGGTGGTAAGTCCATATATACTTCCTCTTGTAAGTTCCCATTAAGGAAGGCATTCTTTACATCTATTTGATGTAAAGGCTAGCAAGAGACATGATCACACGAATAGAGTTCATTTTAGCAATTGGAGCAAAGGTTTCTAGATAATCAATGCCATAAATTTGAATTATCCTTTGGCTACAAGCTGAGCTTTGTACCTCTCAATTGAGCCATTTGCCTTGTGCTTAACAGTATAAACCCACTTACACCTAATAGGAATCTTATCTTTAGGGCTAAGAATAATCTCCCAAGTCTARTTCTTTATTAGGGCCTCCATTTCTTGGTTCATGGCTTCCTTCTAGTGAGGGGATTACATTGCCTTTATAACACTGTAAGGGATGGAAATAGAAGAGATGGCAAAAATATAGGCACAATAGGAAGGTGAAAGATTATCATAAGACACATAGTTAGTAATATGATACTTGCTACATGTCCGCTTCACTTTTCGAATGGCAATATGAAGATCAAGGTCCGAATCAATAATAGGAGTGTCAAGAGGTTCAAGATTACTTGAGTTTGGGGGATCAGATTGTGATGGGTATTTTGTTTCAGGAGCCACCCGCTTACTGTGCTTGATAAAAAACTGCTGCTAGGATCGAGGCTGATACACAGGAGGAGGAGGAGGAGGAGGAAGAGGAGGAGGAGGGGAAGGAATACCACCGTTACTGGGAAGAGAGGGAGGAGGTGGAACAGAGGTAAGAACAAGAAGGCAGAAGGGAGTTCGATCTTCACTTGCATTCTCTCCTTGAAGAGAAGGACAACATACCTCTTGCCAGAGAAAGCATCAAAGCATCCATAGCCTTT